ACACATTTCCCATCGTATCACTATTCAAAATCAATTCTTCCCCCAAAAAATCCGTACCAAACACACACATAAAAAAATGTGATGATAAATATTACCTCTGTAGCTTCTTTTATTTGTGAAAAAATCATTTCCCCCTTTCTTGTATTAAAATTTACCCCGACGCCTACAAATATTTTTCTTCAATTATGCAAAGGTAATTTTTATTAAACCGATTTAAGTGGAATTTTCATGATAATGAGTAATTTTAGAGTTAACATTTGGCAATAAAGATTAAAGTTATAACCTCTAGTTTCTATGTAATTGATGTATCGCCTTTAATTGGATCGATTTCTTGTAAAATAATTGCTAAAGACCTTGGACAATACAGAAAACAAACAAACATCAAAGATATAAAATTGTTATTTCTGTTTAATTAATTCTAGTTATTGATTCAAATTGGTATACAAATTCGTGTGAATGATAAGTACAATAGGAACAACACAATATGTGTTGAATAGATGTCCTTTTTGTTAGCATGTATGGGATTAAAAAAAACCTAATTATGCTCAAAATTACTGCTTTCTGAAAATGAAATGGGTGATATTTGAGATAAAATTGTATATGACTTGGGTCTATATAGAGGTGGCAATCGAGCCTAGCGGCAGTCGTAAAAAAGCGGCTCGTGAGCATCTCGCCCGAGCCGAGCCTGCTCGGCTAGTTTTTTGACGAGCGGCTCATGGGTTTTTTAAATTTTTTTTAAAGATTTAGAACATGTATAATTAAAAAATTAAAAATCGAGCTCGCGAGCCGAAGCTCAGCTTGGCTCGGCTCACGAGTAATGAGCTGAGCTTCGACCCATTGACACCGCTATATCTATATATAAGTGTTTTGTGGATCATTAAAGAGGTGTAAAATATGAACATGTTAAGAAAATGCACACATTTTACTCTAACACCGTTCTTCTCTAAAAAAATGTCACAAAGTTTCCGTTTATCACTTCTCATTTCAAAGTTACGAAAACGTTATTGTTTTCTCACCAAATGAATCTCGACAATATTTATCTTATAAAAAATGTGCAAAAAAGACAAGATATTTCTTTATTTTTCTGGAATGATAATTTTTTTTTCGTTGATATTTTTGAATCAAATATATTATTTTTAAATAGAAGCAACAATCCTTTGAACAAGAAAATTCTCTATTTGCAATAGCTACATGAACACAGCATCAACAATAATCAATCTTATGATGTTTTATTTAATGTTCAAATTCTTGCGTTTGTTTCACAAATATTATAATACTGAGACAATTAGATCATTCGACATGGCTAGTTTTCCAATCATATATTTTTTCTAAAGTTCTCGGAGGATAGTATCCAGAGAAATAAATACCATCTGGCTTCGCTGCATAGTAGCATGCACCTCGACGGCACCTCCTCTTCTTTTTCGATTTGAAAACATCGAAAGCTATATCCTTTGAACCCCAAAAAAGATGGCAGAAGAACAAAGTGTTGCCAAGATAGCTCTCACAGAATTCCCAGTGAAAATCTTTATTTACGTAGAGGTTGTGAAATCCAAGCTCATCATCTCCAGATGCACAGTGCAACCTTAGAGTATTGGGAAGATTGTTGACGACACGAACCTCATATTTATCTGTAATAGGACATCTGAGTTTCATTTCTGCCATTGTTTGGAGAAGGTTGGCTAATAAGAAAAGACATGATATCATGTTTTTTGCTGTGGTATTATTCATTTTTCTCTCCAGAAATGATATTTACGTGACTAAAGACATATGGTTTGACCTCATTTTATAGGAAGGGAGACTTGTCTGGTGAGTCTCTTATCTTACGAGATTATGCCAATTTGAAATGATTCCTCAAATGAGATTTTTAAGGATTGTGAAATATTATAAATTCTATTTAATTTCATGAATTTTAATAAGTTTTCAGAAAATCCACAAGAATCTCATTAAAATGGCGAAATATCAAAAGAATTTGTCATATTTATTTTTAAATTGAAATCCATCGAAAATTTTAAAAATCCCTCTATTAATAAAATTTAAATTATAAATTCACGAGTTATTGAAAGTATCTAGATTTTTAAAAAAATTCATTAAAACTCATTAAAATTTCAATTATGGACACCTAAAAATCATAATTGGGGACACCCTATTAGAGAGGAAATTATGAGATTGGTTAGAGCATTTCCAAAAGAATCTATTTTTAAAGAGCATATTTATAAATTTTTAAGTACTCTTACATGCTCTTTATTTATCCCAAGTTGCTGAAAATTAAACTTTCACTTGTGCAATTTTTGGTCTATGTTTCATCTTTCTTGTTCATGTTGAGTCATAAGATGCGGTAATTGAGATCCTTCAACTTTCAAACATGACTCCTTAGCCTCTAACTTTCAAATATGTTTATCTTTAATCCTTTTTGATCAATTATCATTCATTTACATCCGTTCTAGTGCAATATCGAGTTTCCTCCTAAAATAACCAATAAACAAAATAAGTATCTCGTTCATGAAATTACTTTCAAATATTACTTTTTTTATGGTCAAGATAAGTGTAGTATTTACACTTATCAAGCTCAATAGAATGTGATACTCGTTATCAACTCACAGAATATTGGAAAAGCAATAAAATTGTCATTATTTATGATGGAAAGGGACGAAAAAGAAGACATGAAAGACTTTTCGTCTAAAAGACCTTTTGGTCAATCGCTTATATGTTAATAATTCCACAATTTACTAGTTTATGTCTTTTCTTCTAATAAATTCTTTTATTCAAAAGCCAACACCTCCATGAAAGAGCATGACCCTTAGATAATGAATATATACACAAAAGCTATATTGTTACAAAATCAGGATTAATCAGCAAGGTGGTTTGCAATTTTTTTTATTTTTTTGTATTTTTAAAGAGGACTTCAACAATGTGATTGGATCGAAAGGATAAAAAGGAGGCACAATGCTCCTTACCTTGCATTTGTATGTTTAGCACAATAAGTAGATATCTTTCACTAGCAATTTTAAGTCCACATTTCAACTGTTTTTCATTTAGAAATATGGGTTGTATAATTGAACCTTAGTAGTTTGAAATGATATCAAGAAGTTAATTCAACAATTGAGAACTATATCTCAAAAATAAGCCAAAAGAGGTAACGATCAAATTTTCTTAACATGTTCATATTTTACCACCTGCAACGCACCACCATCGCCACCACCTACACCACCACCATGTAGATCTTGTTCCTCGACTGCACCAAAGAGAGGCGAGTGAGAACCAGTTCAATGGAGCGTTATAGATCTGATTTTTGAGATGATCGCTGTTGACATGGGCCAAGGGTGGGGTTGAGAGAGACGTATTTATATGCACATATTTGTGTTTGTATATGTATATGTATATGTAGAGAGAGTTTTTTGTGCAGATTATATGCCGACAATAAATTGATTTAGGAAGATTTCAATTTAAGTAATAGGGTAGGGTGGGGTGGGATGTATGGCTGCACCTGATTTAATTATGTATTAATTAATTTTATTAATCTTCATTATCACTTAATTTGCAAAATTAAAACTAATCCTCCTTATTTTTTAATAATATACTTTATATAGAGGGATTTGGGTAATTTTTCAATATATGCATATATGTATTATCTCAGCAAAGAATGGACATGAAATTATGAATTCTCTTTGCTGCTAAGTTGACAAAGATTAGTTGTCCCTTGAGCCTAGATTTTGGGATTTCCAATCAATTTTGTTTGGTTGCCTTCTTTATGACTTTTAACCGGCTTTCATGTTTTTTATAACCCAATGTATTGAATGAACTTTCAACGAGCTTTTAGCAAGGTCTTTTCATAAGTGGATCCACAATAATCTTCACTTCACACCATGAAAGGAGATAGTTCAACTCGAAAACTAGTGCCTAATGGTATTGTCCGACATATACATTTTGACTAACCATTATCTACCATATTCCGTGCTTTTCAATTTTAGCTAGCTATCACGACTTTATATAGTAGTCTTGGACTGTCAACAACTAAGAATCCTTCTACAAAATTGAAGTCGTGCTTCTTTTCCATCTCTATATCTAGCCTAGAATTTAGAATCAATGTATCATCTTAACCTTTAATTTTAACAATGTATCCTATAGTGCAGTTCACCATATTTAAATGTTCATAAAATATCCAAATAATACTCATATATCAACTTAGCTTATGTATATGCTTTGTCCAAATTTGCACTTTATGACATGCATTAAACTGCCTAATTTCAAAATAATCTAAGTAGGATATCAATTAACCAAGGTAGATGATTTTTTTTCCCCCAACTACAAGGTTTCTCTTGTTACTAATGTTATAGTTCTTGAAATTATTAAGTATTTACTCAAAATAAGGGTATATGTATAGCATCTAAATTTTATTTTCAACCCACCTCCTCACGTGTAGGCGATGTTTATTTTTTCTCATCAAAACCTAGAATTTGCACGCTTTTTATCAAATGGATAGTGCCGAGAGTTAATCCTTAGACCTTTATTTGCTTTCATACCATATTGATCCCATTAATTTAAAAGTTTAAGCAAATAGATAAGGCCCGTTGTTGTATCCTTACAAATATTTCTCTTTCTAACCAAACAAT